AATATTCATGCTGAGTGAATTGTTTTATTTAACAAGAAATAAGCTGTGGTGAGTGGATGCGTTTTTGACCAACCTGACCATCTCCATTATCAAGTGGCGTGATCATATTCACAATATGCATATAATTTTCCATGAATTAACTAGGAGGCCTCCTGGAAAAGAAAAGAAACACTGATGTCATGTGTCAATAAGAGTTTAAGTGAGGATGCGTTAGTAATGTTGATGCATTGTTCAAACGACCATGAAAGACGATAGAGAAATAAAGTCAGTGTCTCTGCTGACAATAACTCCACAATTATTTATGATGACTGGTGGTTAACATTTGACAGTTACTCTTCCTACATACAGTAGAAAATAGCAAGGTGAAACATGTTTCATGACAGTTTTTCTTTAAACTATTTCTAAAGTTCAGCAGAAAAAGACATATATTGTTTCCTCAAGCAATTTCTATTTGCAATTGTTGGACATAGGTACAAATTATACAGCATAGCCTGATATTTAGTTATCATGGAATATTAGGAGTCCAATTAATTCTGAAGCTGGGAAGCCACATTAGAAGAACTACATCATGGGATTGAGTCAGTGGAAAGTAAATCCACTTACTAAGAAAAATTAAAAACTTACAAGAAAGGTATTCACAAAAGCTTAACTGCATAAATCAACGATCTGTGACAATTGCATGGTAAAATATAATCAAGCATGGTGTCTGTTGATAGAAAATACATATTTGTTATTGTTTCATGAAAGATCTTTCTAATGAATCCACTTAACATCATTTGAATGTCATATTTATTGTATTTCTGATTGAAGCCATGTCTGTTGTAAAAATGTGTAAAGTACTTATTTCAGCTAAGTTGCTAGAGCAGAAAAAGATTGCTTCACTCATCGTGCTAGCTCAATCATAGATACAGTCTGTCAGAGTATTAGTATTGTTACGACAACGGAAGTTACGTGACCTGGTAACACGTCATGAGTTTCTAGGAGGATCAAGACTATTCCTGGCAACTCTAGTGTTTGCCAGACGCCCTCTATTTGTGTATGTAAGCCCGGCAAATAAAGCGGAGATGAGGAGTGACAGCATATATAATTGCAGATAGACAGATAATTGAGTCAAGTGAGCGGTAGTGACCGTAAGTAAAGCGCGTGAATCGTTGTGAATTATAGCGCGTGTTTAAGTTAAAGCGATTGTGGAAATTCTGTGTATTGCAAAGTTGTATTGAGAAAGAATAAACTAGTTTTATTTAAGAAAGGACTTGTATCGCTGAAGTTCCTCGGGAAGAAATTTTACCGGAAATTAACAAACGACCAGAGATGTAAGAGTATAATGTTTTAAGAGAGATTGACTGATTTTGCTACACTAGCAGACACTGGCTTCCAACTGAGAAGCAGAGATATCCTGAACCTTCAGTTTCAGTTGTGCCTATGGGTAGATATCTAATCCACAACAAACACAAGAAAGAAGAGACACTTAATACAACAGTTTGGTCATTTTCGGCATAGGAGTCCACAAGTCAACAATGTACACAATATGTTAGCAAACAGACTCAGGAAAGGGGACAAACTATAAACATTAAGTTTGTTCGTTTAAACTAATGAGTCCTAGCTTATGTCTGGCCAATGAGCTTGGAGAGAGCAAGCAATTGCCTGTCTGTTTCTACGGATGAAATGATTAGTTCAGGATGTACATGGTTAAACTTACTGTGATATCCACCTGCAAAGATACCTTACCTGATATAGGGGCTGCTAGAACTCTTCTCGATTTAGTAGTGTATCAATCACTGTCATGTAAACCACGATTCTGCAAAGCAAAAATAGCCTCTTCTTTGTCAGTTACAATAAAATTATACTGAGTGGAGAAGCTCAGCTCCATATCACTGTTGGTACCATCACTAAGGATGTGAGAGGTGTTGTTAAGGATATTGACTTGAGTACTAGCATTTTATATTATGTGTCCTACAGGAGTTTTCTAATAGTATAGCCTGGCAGCAGGTAAAATGCAACTCTATTATAAAAACCATGCAATGCAAGACAAAATATGAACTAAATCATAAGAGTGCATGAGTATTTTGCCAACAAGAGTCTCAGGTTGCACCTCTAGCTAGATAATTTCATGTCAAAGCAATATATAAAATATGATATTTTCTGTCAAAAAGCCAAGTTTTGCTTGCTTGAACTGTTATCACTCCAAGACCAAGAATTCCTCCAAATGTAATTTGTATTAAAGTAACAATCCATTAAAGTTATTAGGTGGAATGAGTATTGGTACCATGTATGAAGGAAAAGTAGTAATGTAGCTAGTATTACATCAACCATATCATGTCAGTATACAAATACATGATTGCTACCACATCTGAGATTGGATTGTGCAAACACTCTGATTATAGGCCAACTTGAAAGATAACTGGTGAATTTTGGGCCTGCCTATTCACAATGAGCCAGATAAAGAATCACCGATCTTAGAAGCGAGAAACTGTTCTGATCATCAGCCAAGCCTTTGCTCATAGCGTCCTGATTCAAAAGATTTGATAAGATATTTATTACAGGTAGTCTTGTATTTTTCTTGCTTTTACTAAGTTTGTAAGAACGAAATAGATACTGGACAGAATGTAACACACTAATGTACAATCTTTACTAAATCACTAGCCCAGCAT